AACAAAAATGATTTTTTTCACCTCACGGTTTGTTGTGTGGAAACTTTCCTTTTCAGTTTTTCCAACAATATAAAGTCTGAAAAACTGGATGGGGGGAGGAGGTTGGTTGAACAACAAGAACATTTTGAAAGAAAATACGTTCTTCTGCAAAAATGTTTGAGGGACTAGATTGTTTCAGGTTTCAGAGGAACAGCCGTGTTAGTCTGTATTTGCAAAAAGAAAAGGAGTACTTGGATTTGTGTTGGAAATGGCCCACCTGCTGATCACTTTAGATAAGCTATTACCAGCAGGACAGTGGGGTGGGAGGAGGTATTGTTTCATATTCTCTGTGTGTATATAAAGTCTGCTGCAGTTTCCACGGTACACATCTGATGAAGTGAGCTGTGGCTCACGAAAGCTCATGCTCAAATAAATTGGTTAGTCTCTAAGGTGCCACAAGTACTCCTTTTCTAGATTGTTTCAGTATCTAATCTATCAGCTGGAAACTTTCACCTGGATGGGGACTGAATATAGTTGATAGAAAGGCCCTACAGTGCTGTAAGTGTAAGTTGCACCTGCTGTTTTATTATATTTGGCATCTGATGGTTCTAGCCCATCTGCGACATTGGACACATTTTGCAGAACAGCCCTAATTACTTCCTCAGCATTTGGCTTAATATTATGATTTAATTAGCGAGTGTGTTCTGAGATGGGAGAGGGCACAAGAAATTAGTCTGACAAGGCTTTTCTTCTTATGTTGTTACATTCCTCTTGAAGCATGGATGTGGATGGGTGAGAGCCCACCATGTAAGCCCAGCAGGCGAACGCTTCACATGGGAACGTCCCTGGGAGATGGGGGCACAGATGCTAAAGTTCAGGGAGTGTATTAGTAAAGGAAACACTGACAGCGTCTCCCGCCAACATAGCGTGGTGTAGACACTGCGTTAAGTTGATGTAAGTTGCATCTCTCGGAATGGGCGGGGTTCACACCCCTGAGCGATGTAACTTACATCAACTTAAGAGATAGTGTAGACGAGTCCTAAGGGTGGAACAGAAGCTCATTTTATCACACTCTATTAAACTGGACAAATATAGTCATGGTACGAAATTACTCATTAAAGCATTACTTTTTAAAAACAGGAGTAAAAAGAATGACTTACAAATCTGAAAAAGTTCCAGCTGATGATCTTTGTCCTGGGTTTCTTGAAATAAATTCTTCTTCAACATCTGTAAGTCATCAGTTTTGTCCAGGGGTACATGTAAAATCATATACCTATTGAGCTGTGATTGTCCACACTGGGGATCAAGGCCATTGCTTAATGTGGTGTAGAGCAGTGGCTCTCACCTTTCCAGACTACTGAACACCTTCCAGGAGTCTGATCTGTATTGCATACCCCCAAGTTACACCTCACTTAAAAACTACTTGCTTTCAAAATCAGACCTAAAAATATAAAAATGCCACAGCACGCTATTTTGAAAAATTGCGAACTTTCTCATTTTTACTGTATAATTATAAAATCAATTGGAATATAAATATTGTACATACATTTCAATGTACAGTATATAGAACAGAATAAACAAGTCATTGTCTGTATGAAATTTTAGTTTGTATGAACTTCGCTAGTGTTTTTTATGTAGCCTGTTGTAAAACTAGACAAATATCTAGATAAGTTGATGTACCCCCCGGAAAGCCCTCTGCATACCCCCAGGGGTATGCGTACCCCTGGTTGAGAACCACTGGTGTAGACCCCTGAAAGTGCTCTCGCTTACAATATTCGTTGCCGATATGACCAAATCATTTTTAGTAACTTTTACCACTTCAGGAAACAGCTGGTGTTCAGTCTGGTTGAATGAACTGAGACTTCTGAATTGACTTCAGTGATCTTTCTGTAAGCTGACAGTTGGCTTGCAACAGATGAAGCTGAATAATCATGGCTGAAATCGATACCATACACCTGAAACACATCTTGAACTTGAGTCTGTGTTATGCTTAGAGTTGTTATGGGAGTTTCAAGATTTTGAATAATGTTGTAGTCTTTCTCTTTAGATCTTTATTGAATACTGGACATTGTAAAAACCAGTGACATCAAAGGAGAGGTATTTATAATATTCCTTTGCTGAATTTGGGTAGCTGGGTTCTATTTCCCTATGTGCATTTTCTTGGGAATTTCTCTCTTCCCTGGAAGCCCAGACATTCTGACTATATCCAGCATTGAATTTTTCTGGCAGATTTGCTCCCAGAGTAAATTGTAGCTTTCATCTGATGTCATTTTCATACAAAATTGGCCTTCTGTGGTTGAAATGCCTGAGCCTTGCAGAGTTTTGGATAGATTGTCTACCATGTTTAGGACTTTCAACCTAGTTCAGTACAAAAGAGCTAGTTCAACTCTTCCATTTGAGCTGTTATTCCACCAATGAGAGCTCTCATTTCAGGCTCTTTGGTTGCATCCTTTGGTGTCTCCCAAGTTGCATGTGGTGCAAGGGAGTTTCAGAAATTGAAGCCAATGCTTCTGGATAGAAAGACCATCTTGCTGGACAGAGTACATAGATGCCTGATGCTGTACTGACCACTTCATGTTTTATGTCCTGAAATATAGCCCTTTGTTTGTTTACCAAATGACAAAATTAAATCAACCAGTTTCAAGAGCATCTCTAAGGATAGCATTTTTAAGAGCAGCCTAGCACACCAAATTCAAAGCGTGCCCAAAGCAGTGAGTGTATCTAGCTCATAGTTTCGGTTGTTAGCCTGGTTGCTACACCTGAAATTAAGTCTGTCAAGTTAGTGGTGCCATCATAATATTCTCCATGACAATTGCTGATGCTCAAATTTAGACACAATGCATCTTTAATTAGTGAGTTGGTAGCCCCTGCTGAGGTACAGGCTACATTATACTATCCAATGAATATTCATGTCGTCATCCACATACAGCAGACATAACACCATTTTCTCCTTGTTGGAGAAGTGTGTTTGGTTAATCTACCAAAATTGCAGACCACTTTCCAGAAATGTTCTCAGATATCTTTCTTGCAGCTTTAAGAACCTTTATCTCATTTTGAAAAACTGGACATGTAAATTTGTCATGACTCATTTTCATCCACTCTGAAATCAGGATCATATTCTGCCTCCAAACAAAGCAGTTGAATAAAGTTGCAGTGAACCTCTCCACTTCAGGATGTATTTTCAGCTTGTTCAGACTCATAGACATTAAGGTCAGAAGGGACCCTTATGATCATCTAGTCTGACCTCCTGCACAATGCAGGCCACAGAATCTCACCCACCCACTCATACAATAAACCTCTCACCTATGTCTGAGCTTTTGAAGTCCTCAAATCGTGGTTTAAAGACTTCAAGATGCAGAGACTCCTCCAGCAAGTGACCCGTGCCCCATGCTGCAGAGGAAGGCAAAAACCCCCCAGGGCCTCTTCCAATCTGCCCTGGAGGAAAATTCCTTCCCGACCCCAAATATGGTAATAGCTAAACCCTGAGCATGTGGGCAAGACTCACCAGCCAGACACCCAGGAAGGAACTCTCTGTAGTAACTCAGATCCCACCCCATCTAACATCCCATCACAGGCCATTGGGCCTATTTACCATGAGTAGTTAAAGATCAATTAGTTGAGTTAAAGATCCCAAGTCCCTGTCTGGCAAGATAACCTATACATTACTAGAGTTTTCATTAGGAGTTGCCTGCTTTCTTCTCTCTACTGAATGTACTTAAAACTTAGACATGGTCTACATCTAAAACTCAGGTCAACCCAGCTATATTGCTCACCCTTAGTCTTAGTAGGTCACCAACGTTCTTAGTGGCCTTTTGAAGAATATCGGCTACTTCATGGTGAAATGAAGAAGCTTGGTGCCTCAAATTTGTCTCCAGCCTTTTTCTGATTAGAGAATCCAGACTGAGTGGAAACTTCATCCGGGTGCTTAGTCAAAAGTAGTTTGTGCCTAACAGTTGTGTAACAGTAGAAACCAAAAAGAAAAGGAGGACTAGTGGCATCTTAGAGACTAACCAATTTATTTGAGCATGAGCTTTTGTGCGCTACAGCTCACTTGCATCCGATGAAGTGAGCTGTAGCTCACGAAAGCTTATGCTCAAATAAATTGGTTAGTCTCTAAGGTGCCACTAGTCCTCCTTTTTACTGGAAAACCAGTTGCTTTGACCTTTTTTATATGTAACCCCCGGGTTCTTTTCTCACTCAGATCCTCTGATAAGGAAAAGACTACAAAGAGGTGACCGTTGGAGGGCCTTTGACCCCCCCCCTTCCCCCCCCGAACATGATGGTTCTGCCAAAGAATCATGGGCTTCCTGATGTCTGGCCTTCCCCATCCTTTTGTGGGGGGGGAAAACGCCCATGGAACTGGGGCAGTGGGAAGAGGAAAGAAAAGACCACCCTATCAGGAGGCTGTGGGAATCAGCCCTAAAGGAGTGGCAGCTAGCTGGCCCTATCTTGGTCCCTGAGAAAGGGACTCAGAAGTCTTTGTGCACAATGGTGAGGCAGAGCAGGATAAGAAGAGCCTCGCAAATGTGGGGGTATTCGCTTTGTATCCGTGTACCATTTCTGCAGATAGCAGCACGGATGCGGATACAAATGTATCCGCGCAGGGCTCTGATGTTAAGAGCTGGGCGGGCAGCTGTGGAGAACTGCGGCACGGATCCTCCACCTGCCTTGGGTGGGGGGACTGGGGGGCAGGGACACTGGGTGGGGGGCTCCTCCTAATTGCTTCCCTCACCCCAAATTTTTATTTTGTCCCTGAAAACACAATGATTAATGCTACTGTGGCCATGTAATAGCACAAGAGGCTGAGGCGGAGGTAGGCAGTGTATCTATGTTTTAATGATCCTTGACCTCTAGATTATTGGTTCCACACGGATTGTAACATCACTGAAACTTATCTCGATCTCACAACTATGGACAGTAGTCCAAGAAAAAATTTGTGGGTCTCAGTTCAGTTCTTGGTGGACAGGTGTCAACATAAAAAATGAAGTTCACCACAGTTAGTACTAATTTTCTCTCTATAGGTAGTCTAAGAACTGACTGGGCATGGAATCTGAAGTACTCTCATATCCTTGCCTATAAGGATCCCTCCAACCATGGTTGAGGCACAGTGGCGAGGCACGAAGAATAAAGGTGGAGAGGGCCTTTCCATAGACAGAGAACCAGATGAGAAAGATGATGGCTCTCCCCTGAAGCCCTGTGGGAAAGGAAGAAGGCTAACTGCTGAAGCGGTCTCCAGAGAATAGATTCTGGAGAACAGTGATTATTTTCCAGGCATAAACAAGTAGGCGAATGATAAAAGAAACTACAGCCACTGGAGATCGGTGTCTGCCAGCTGCCATGGACATAAGTCTCTCTGAACTGGTAGAAACCTCAGGCAACTGCACGCTGCTCTTGCTCTCAAAACAAACAAACAAATCTTTGTGCTTCTCTGCTTCCATCACAGAACTGACTTTGGTGCCGACCCAACATTTCTGCAGACCCTGTAAGTTTTTTTTGTTTTTGTTTTGTTTTGTTTTGCAAAGCAGTGAAATAAATCCTGACTTATAAAGCTGTACAGAAAATACGACAGGTCTGATGGAAAATCTCATACACTGCTGAGGCCTAGGCAAATACGGGTGGCCAAATTCTGCTCTAAATTTCATCAGTGTAAACCTAGCTCACGGTTGTACGTGATTGATAGGATGCTACCATTTGATTACAGTTCAGTGGTCTCCATGCTATGAGTTGGATCTCAGCCCAGTGAACAGGTCTCCATATCACAAATATCCGCACCACATTTGGCCCCAGTTGACACCCCCCCCCCCATTAGGAGCTTGAGCTTGTCTCTCTTGGAGGTGGTCTCTTCAGATCTGGTTGTGGCACCCTGGCAGAGATCTGGGCAGAAAGCTTGCATTCCCACTGCCTATGTTATTTTGGAGATAAGTAAAAGATTTTTTTCTCCAGGGCTGTTAATCTGGCTGCTTTTGCAAGCACTAGAGTCTTTCACACAATTGAGCACTTGTGTCAGGACATGGCTTTCAAAAGGGAAAAAAGAAATAGCTCTGGAATAATTGGAAATGTCCAAACCAGTCTCTTACCTCCCAGCTGGGTCATTCATTTTGTTACCGGCTGCTCTGTAGCCATCTGTACTTAATGCCTTCAAAACCTTTATTGAAGTGAGTGAGACAGACCGAGAGGCAGGCTGGCTAAACTTTAATAAAACTCCAGGCTATTTATGTTCTTATTATAAGACTCCCTTCTCTTGTCAGGATAGTTTATAGCCCCTCATTAACTCTTCCTATTTTATGGTCACCTGCATGAACATCTTAGGTACTGGAGGGGGAAATAGGAAAAAACTAAATACAGAACAGATGCTTAAGTGCACATGAATGGATGCAGAACCATCACCACACACCACCTGATCACTTCCACCTGTTCACAGAGTTTAGCAAGATCACCAAGTATCTCTCCTTCACTCCATCCCAGGTCGATCAAAGATGTGTCAGCTGGTTCTGGTTAAACAAGAACAAAGTTGCTGAACCTTACCCTTTTGGACCCTCTGAATTTGGGTAAACTTCTTAAAATAATTTCTCACTTTAAATGTTCATTTTCCATCTATGCCTTCTGATTTTGAGAGATGCCAGAGACATAAATGAGATATGGGAAAGGCTGTTGTGGCATTTTTAGCTTGACCAAAACCTAGGTCCCATTAATCCTGCTGGAGGAGGGTCTCTTCTGAAACTTCCTGCTCACCATATAGAGACCTGAACATTCAGCTGCTGCTCTGAACCAAATCTCCAAACTGAGCCTCCAAATAGTTTGAGATTTCCCCATTGCTAATTTAAATATGTGCCTCTCTCTCCTTTGAATTGAAAACACAAACCAGTCCAAGAGGAGTCGAAGTTCTTGTGGAAAATGTTTTAGTAGTTTGTTTGCCATTCAGATGGGTGAAAACAAACCGTTTCACTCCTGGGTAGCAGGAGTTGGGTAGAAGTAAAGCAACTGTGGCCTTTTTCTTTTTCTCCTGATCTGCTGTGTGAATTTGGTCAGTGATTGGTGCAGCTGGGTGGAAGCCAGGCAATGGAATGTTGCTCCGTTGTTGCATCTTGCAGAGGGGGGAGAGATTAGAGTCATCTGTTGTCCAGCTGTGACTTTGCCTACTTGACCTAAACTTGTCATTGCCAGGTTGATTGGTTCATTTCAGCACCATCTAAAAGTTAGTATAGAATTCCTTAGGCATGGCCTCAAAACCAGGCCTGGACTTCAGCAAAGACTAAGACGTGCTGTTTGTCATGGACTGGACTGAAGGGCCTTTCTAAACAGAGAAGTAAAATATGCCTTTGCTGCTCAGTATTTAGATAAGATAGATATAACCTATGTAAAATCCTAATGTTTCTCATGCCCAGCTTAATCAGGGAAATTTTGCAAATGTTGGAAGTAGGTGGGCAGGTGGTGGTGGCTGAGACCATCTGGGGTAGAATTAAAGATTTTTGTTTTCTTTAAGTGAATGTAGTGCTAGCGAAAGGTGGTGAATCAAGAGCCCTGCAGAGTGGCAGCCTCTGCCTATCACCAGAACAGGCATGGCACAGGTAAGACAAGCTTCCACGCTTTCCCAGAGATGGCCAAGTCATGGCCAGGGTGGCTTTGTCCCTCTACCTTTTCTCTCCCTGATCTTCTCACTGATATTGCCAATAGGTACATTTCTTGCAAGAGACTGGGAAAGTTAGCAAAGCCAGCCACAGCGCAGGCAGGCCCTCTGAAAATGTCACTAGCCAGTAACCCATCCAGCAGTCAGATTTTTCCGGCTTTTCAATTAGCTTGGAGTGCAAATTCAGGTTTCCATAGAAGAAAGGGCTAGTGTATTAATTCCTTGGCCTACAGCAATTCCATCCTTCTTAAATCCTCCCTGCCACTCTTCTCTCAGAACATTTCCATGCCTGCAGCTGCAGGGGCTTCTCTGGGTGCCTGGATGAGGGGTTCTGGATAACGCACCTCTTAGCTGAGCTTTTTAAACTGGAGACTTGGGAATCCATCCAGTTGGCCTTTTGTGACAAAGCGGGACTGTTCTTAGTGTTTCCTCTGAATATTGTGGGGGTGCCTCAGTTTCCCCTATGCAGTTCTTAAGTATCTAGGTGGTGAGATAAGGGTGTATGATCATTGCAGAGCCCTAGAGGGCAGGTGTGTGCAGGGGTCTGGACACAGAATGGCCGACACCCTGTTTCCTGGCAACTGATGGCCTGGCCCTTCGCCCCTGCAAGGTGAGAGCTAAAGGGTTGGAGAACAAAGGAATCAGGTACCCTCCTGGCCCGGGAAAGGGACAAAGCCCAGAGGAGGAGGGGCTGGAGAGAGTTTCAGTTAGGGGCTGGCTGGGGACGAGGAGTGAAGTGCAGACGTGGTTGTCTGACTCACTGCCTCCCCCAAAATGGACCCAGCTGAGGGGTCCTGTTCTATGCACCTACAAGCTCTGTGTTAGACCATGTTCCTGTCGTCTAATAAACCTTCTGTTTTACTGGCTGGCTGAGAGTCCTGTCTGACTGCGAAGTTGTGGGACAGGACCCTCTGGCTTCCACAAGACCCTGCTTGAGCGGATTGGCTGTGGGACGCGCACGGAGGGGCAGAGGATGCTGAATGCTCCGAGGTCAGACCCAGGAAGGTGGAAGCTGTGTGAGCTGTGTGTCCTGCAGACAGCCTGCTCCCAGAGAGGAGACTTCCCCAGAGTCCTGCCTGGCTTCGTGGGGAGCAGTTCCAGAGCATCGCCCGGGGACTCCTCGACACCTTTATTTTTTTTCTCTCGCTGTGATTTAAAGTGTTAATTCTGCCCATTCAGATGTAATTTTTGAGCTCTATGAGCCAGAGACAGAATCTCATATGCTGCCGGAATCTGAATGGTAACTGGGTCTTTTTCTTTAACTCGTGCGACATGCTATAATTTAGTTTGAATGTTGAAAGGAAAAGGGCCTCCAGGAGAGTCCAGTGCTCTGTTCGCTTGAGTTCTAATTAAAGTGATCCCCTCTCAAGTTTCACTTTGTTTTCTGGGGCTTTCACTCCATGATGATAAACATGTGTCCCATGGCAAGGAACTCATTACACCCTTTCCCGATCTCCTCTTTCACAAAGCCCTAGGAACCTCCTGTGTTAGATCCTGCTGGCTGAAGCTTCACCCTCAGAAAGATGTAGTGGCCAGAGGCAGGTACAAGCTTGATTAGCACTCTGGGCTGCGCAGCCATCCCCTAGCAGGAAGCTTTGCTTTTTCCAGTGTGGCTCAGGCAGATATTGCTGTCCAATGAAGACGATCCAGTCCAGGATTTCTTCCAGCCTTTTCTTCATATTTCAAGAGCTCAGGCCAATTCTGGCTTCCTATTCCAACTCCAACAGGCTTATCGTTTTGGGGGCTGGAATTGTTCGTACAGTGCATCTTGCCTGCTGCGAGTTCTGCCTCTGCTCAGACATGTGCTCTGTGCTGGGTTTGGGGTTTTTTTATTTTAAATGTCAAACTTGAAGAGCTCCCTTTCTTTTTCTCCCCCCTTCTACTCTAAAGAATCGGACTCCTGTTAATTAGACGCTGGAAGTGTTGCTGCTTTGACGGGAGGGGGGAGTGAGTGAGCGTGCGTGTGTGCCTGTGTGACATATATAGATACAAAAATGTCAGTGAACAGCAGGAAAAGTTCTGGGAGACCGTCTTACTACTATCGACTGCTCCGGAGGTCGCGACTTCAGAGACAGCGAAGCAGATCCCGGAGCCGGAACAGGCCACTTAGCAGGGGTAATTGCAACCAAAATTCCATTTAATTGAAAGTGCAAGACCTAAGTCGTATTGCTTAAGAGGCAAGTCTATTACTGTAGATGATAAAGACCAGTGTAAATGCTCCTTAGTGTACCTGTGTGCTGCAAAGTTTACAGTGAACTTTAGAAAGGATCTATTGATTGTTCAATGCTGTGCTCAGGTAAGGGGGGAGAAGATTGTCTAGTGGTGGTATGGATCTGGGAGTCAGGATGCCTGAGTTCTATTCCCTACTTTGATGTTAAAATGCTGTGACTTCCATCAGGCAAGTCCCTTTGACTCTGTCCTCAGTTTCCTTACCTTTAAAATGAGGGCAAGAGTACTTCCCCAGCATACTAGGACGTTTTGAGGCCTAATTGATGTTGTAAAGCACTTTGATATCCTTAAATGAAAGATGCTATTGAAGTCCAAAGAACTATTGTTATAATTTGCTGCTCTTCATCAGCTGGGCCCCTGGAGGGTCTAAAAAATTGTGATTGGATATAAGGGCTTGTGCTCCCAAGCCCACTGGTGAAAGGCAGTGGGGCTTGTGTGCTCATAAGCCACTTTGGCGATCTTGAAAAATCGCACTGTAACCGAATGTATTTGTCCTGCGCAGCAGGAGCGGGGCCCGTGGAGCGATGGGTTTTTGGACGTACCCATTCGGGCCGTCCATTCGTTCCACTCCAGGCAGCTACTGACCCAGTTTGGTTTTTTTTAAAAATAAGCTGCTCTGGCTTTTC